TCTAACCAATTTCTAGTCATTCTTATATATATTATTGGTGATGGATCAAAACAAAGACTTGGAAGTATTTTTTTATTTACATAGGTTGCCAGTTTATATGTATTGATACACTATTTGTTTGATCAGAGAAAAGAGCTAATCTGCATCAAAATATCTTTGTTCTACAGAAAACTTCAGGTTTTTGAATATTTGCTTTGTCTTGAAATTGGAATTGTTCTATTCTAAATATAATTTGTTGTCTATATATGTATACAATGGCATAATAAACACCCTTTCTAGCTGTTTCTGCTACAATCGTGCTCGCCTCAACCCTCTTTCGACCATATTCCACAAACTAAAAATAAAATAACATTGTATAGAGACGAGCCTTCTTGACCTCACTATACATATCATTTTTGATCTCATTTTTCAACTGTTTGATTGTATTGTTTAAGTTTTCAGGAAACATTAAATTTCGGTCTTTAATAATCTTAACCTCAAAATCATTTTCTGAGTTACTATCTGAACCAATTGGTTTATCATTCATACTCATACTATTAGCATCATTTATACTCGTACTATTACTATTATTCATACTCATACTATTACCATCGTTTATATTTGTAAGTTCATTCACTATCTATTCAAAAAAAGATAATTCAAATAAATATTATTCATATTATTACTGTAAAGTACAAGCTATTTGAAAAATAACTTACTAATGATCAAAATAATTCTAGCTTGGGTATTTTAACTGCAACTTTCTATTGTAATTGTTTTTAGCACCTTTTTGTTCTTTTTGAGTTCCCAATATACACGAGTAGCTGATGATTAGTTACTTCTGAAACTGCTTGCAACAATCTTGTAATAATATTGTTCGCTTCTTCAGTTTTCAAAACACTTATTTTTGTATCACTATCCTCAGTATTATTAAGTTCACCACCACTAGTGCTATGAGTTTTTAAAACCTTTGCCCAGTGCTGATTCTTAGCTTTTGTTATATCTTAATTTTTCGTAACTGAACCTTTTTTTAGATAATCGTGGCATTTTTAGTGAAGTATTATATATTTAATAATGAAGCTGTTGCAAAGCCAATTAGCGATTGTTAGATTCATCTTCGCAAACTTATCTTCTTTAAATATGAAATTTT